TAAGTTCCACTTGAGATCGCCGGAAGCAATGGTACCCAACAATTTAGCTGATGAAACAATTTCTATTTTCTTTCCGTTAATGGTGATAGGGGCCATTAAAGAATCCGCCTTTGAAATTGTTATTCTCAGCTCCTTACACTTAGATTCATTCAAATGGAAATTGTTCTCTTCTGTTTGAGTCACGAAATCATCCACATGCAATTGCATAGAGCTTGCTTCATTTTTCTTCACTATTTCGGACATGGTGGAATCATCGACATATTTCCATAGATCTAAATCAGGTATCTTCACATCGTTAATCATAATAAAAAACAACCAGGGGCCAAGTTTTTTTTTTTGTGGCACCCCGGCACGTGACTCAGCCCACTCAGAAAACAATCGCTGCTCATCTTCACTCTTTTCTTTCGATTTGATAAAAAATCTAAAATCCAGCGCATTACAGATGTTGGAAAATCATACGACAAGAGCTTACGTACCAAAACGTTATGGTCAATTAAATCGAATGCTTTCCGAAAATCGAAGAGCATTACTCTTGCTGTAGATCCATTTCCATCGGTAGATTGGAGCCATGTTGATTAGTGCAAAGAATTAGGCACAGTTCCGTACTGCTGTGGATCAACATTTTTTAAAACAGCTGGTTTAACGTACCTTTCAACGACATATTCTTCTGCAATCTTTGATAAAATTGGGGTCAACGAGATGGGTCTTAAATGTTTATTTACGTCTTGTACCGGTTTTTGTTTTGCCACAGGAACTACATTAGCTTCTTTCCATGGTGTTGGTAATTTCCCTTCACGATAAGAACTAGCTCCGGAACTGCCGAGGCCAATACATCTGCGTTCTCTTTTAAAACCCACACCGGCATATTGTCAGGACCGCTAGATTTGCTGGGGTTTAACTTTGACAATTTGATAAATACTGAGTAGGAAGATACGGCAAGGGGATCGTGATTATCATGATTATGTTGAAGATTATTTTGGAGGGGAGTATAGTCGTGCATGGGGGAAATGAAAGCTTCGTTAATGGTATTTGCTAAACTCACTTCGTGAAGAGACTTAGCAAGGTTACCCTGTGTGGAGCTGGACGGGGAACAACCACTCAGTCTTTTAACTTCATTCCACCATACAGATGGCTTGCATTTTTTTAGGTTCTCCACTTTTGCCTGATAATATTTGCCACGGCATTTCTTACGTTCTCTGTTAACCCGATTCCTCAGTCTACGAAACTCATACTCGTTACTGCTAGCTAGTGCTTTTTGTCTCTTTTTAATTAACTCTTTTAAAGTCGATGTAATCCAGGGTGGTTCTGACGAGTGAACTGTTCTGGTACGAGTAGGTAAAATGAAGTCAAGGCCAGTTGTAATAATTTCCTGCAGGAGTAGAGTTTTCTCTTGACAGCTATCAACAGCACCAATTAGAGAATTGACATCTGCTTGTTGTAGATAGGTCGCCATTGCAGCACGTTTACTAGGACGTAAATCTCTTTATATAATTTTGATCTTGGCACCATTCATGGTACATCTTTTACGAGGTTGGATTTCTATACACAGATGGTCTGACAAACCAAGTGGAGGGTGTTTGATGGGGGATTCTTAAAACTCGTAGATGTTGGTAAGAATTAAATCAAGTGTGGCTACACCACGCGCTGGGAAATTCACAATTTGTTTTAATTTAAAGCTATTTTGCAAACGCGTTGTTTCTAAGCGATTAAAATACCCAGCAATCACAACACCACAATTACTATAACGCGATTCCATATACGATAAACACTTGGTTAAATATTCTCTCATAGCAGGGTCATTAGCGCGTGGTGGGTGGTAAATGGTTCCGACAACAATAAAGTTGTAGCCTCTTGGGAGTCGGGATGGAGTCATTAGAGACCTTACGATTTTAGGACGGCAACCGCGACGGCGATGGCCAAAACAAACTCGTTCAAATAAATGGTAGTCGATAGTTCGTCGTTTATTATCAATCGTATGAATTTAATACAGTCTTAGAAGTTGAAGACATGGGTTTTATGGTTGGGAAGAGTTCTGCTAAACCCAGTTTGAAGTTGCACTTGTTGTGGCTTGGAATGCAGCCGTTGTATCAACACGTGAAACTATGTGATTTGGCGTTGTAAACAGAGCGGGACAATGTCTAAATTATTCATTTATTGTAATTACTCAGAGGAGGTTGGACAGCAGACCGCAAAACATCGTGAACATTGAGCGCCTAATTCCAAGCGTAGCTTCATTGACTGTAGACTGTAGAGGAGTGAACATATCTCTGACTAAACCAATATGGAAGCTTTCGAACGACAAGTGTGTCATATACTCTGTGAAAACTGCATATTGCTGTATTGTTGCGATCTTCATTATGACTTGTGTTTCACTATAGCAAGTTTATCTTTTTTTAAATTGCATGCGACGTGCTGTCATTTTAGTTTAGTCAAATAATCCGTCTGAGCGAAGGAATTGTGTTTTATATAAATATTCCCAATAGCAAGGCTCTTCTTAAATCTCCGTGTATGATCAACGTGAAAACAAGCGCAGTATTTAAGGTTGGTATACTACAATGCATTACAGTTATCTTGTTATTTAGTCAAATTTCCGCTTTGTTGTTTTTATTCTTGTACTGTGCTGTACTGTACTGTACTGTGCTGTACTGTACTGTACTGTACTGTACTGTACTGTACTGTACTGTACTGTACTGTACTGTACTGTACTGTACTGTACTGTACTGTACTGTACTGTACTGTACTGTACTGTACTGTACTGCACTGTACTGTACTGTACTGTACTGTACTGTACTGTACTGTACTGTACTGTACTGTACTGTACTGTACTGTACTGTACTGTACTGTACTGTACTGTACTGTACTGTACTGTACTGTACTGTACTGTACTGTACTGTACTGTAATTTCATAAATATACACTGTACAAAATTATAGCGTAATATTTGTATTTATTGCCTTTAGTTTGACCCTATTGTGTGTCTACTATGTACTGTGTCACTGTGATACATTATGTACATGTTTTGAGTTAAACAAATTGTTTAATAAATTTTTGCTGAAGTATGATGCCTGTTTGTATCTAGTTGTGGATAGATTTTTTATATATGTGCATACAGTAGTTATATATTTTTCAATTTTCATCTGTAAATAATATTGCCATATTTGTGTGCTGTTCTAATATTACTGTCAATAGTGACACACTTTTGCATTAGATTGCTAATTTTAGAGATTACAGTGTATGTATAAAATAATAAAATTTTTCTTGTTATGATTTTGTAGAATGAGATCTATTTGAGTGGTTGGCTGGTCTTGAACCTGGTCAGGTAATGAAGGTGATAAGGCAGAAAATGGTAATGAAAGTGATAGGGCAGAAAGTGGTGACCAGTTAAGTGATGAGGATGCAATATGAAAGTGACGAGGACGAAATCACCCATGCTGTACCATTCAAGTGCATCGGTGCTGCTCATGAGAAAAACTACCAACATCATTTTGGAACAGGCACACCTTGCTCTACATCAGCTAGAGCAATTGAATTCAATGGACCCAAGTGCAATTGATTTAGACTGTGGAAAAGGATGGACACATGTTGGTTATATTGCTTCTGAACTATGCGAGTATTTGCACCCACTAATTGCCGCAAGAGATATTTTAGAGGTGTATGTTTAGCATATCAGGTATAGGGTTGAGTTTTTTAAAATAGGATTTTATCCAAAACTTTCATAAAGCGACGTGGTGAGTGGGAGCCTCAAGTGGTAAATAAGAGCTTGAGTGTACGTTCTCAAATTCATTAATAATTCATGAGTAATTCAGCCAATGATAATCACCTATTTGATCACAAGATGCCATTTGGATACTTGATGAAAGTCACTAGTGTTTTCATCAAATATCTTAATTACGCATGCAAAGTTACTTGAATAGAATTCCTAATTACGTTATGCTTGGTTAAGAATTCTATTCAAATCAGCAAACGAAAACATTCTGTTACGTCTCGATTCATTTGAGAAGCCATATAAACAACTCGAGCTCGTGTCTCACCGGGATATCCAAACACTCGAAAACAATGTACGAAAACACTCGCGCTTCGCGCTCGTGTTCTCATACATTGTTTTCTCGTATTAGGATATCCCGGTGAAACACTCGCTCTCGTTGTTCATATATTACTTGACAGATATTTGTGATATAATAACAACTGACTAGGTTTAGCAAGTTATAGAAATGCTGTTATTTCAATTGGCTAACTTTTTAGATTTTTTCAGCATTTTTAAATTAAACAAAAACTAGGTTAATTTAATCACAAGTTGGTGCAATTAAAACATTGTCTGTCATGCACACTCGTGCAATTAAGTACATAATTGTAACATGTGCTATACTAAATGAATAACTAAATAGTTTATACATTCACTTGACCAATTTTGTGAGTAAATATTCATTAAAATTAATGCAACAATAAAACAAAAATTTGTCTATTTATATACAATATTATTGATCAAAGGTCCCACAATAACATGCTGCTGATACTTTAATTAAGGCACATTATATGAGAATACAAGAATTGCATCCCCACCCTGGGGATTTTGAATAGCATTTTGGGCCTGAGTCACCTTCTGCGAATAGTTGTCAGTAAATATTCCCTTGAGCATTCTTGTACGCTGTACTGTAGTTGTTCGTGCTGCCACGTTATTTACATTTTCACGGTCGTATAACCACGCCAACAATTGAAACGTTCGAAGTCGTCTGAACTGCTTTGTATGATTTTACCAAATATTGCTACTTAAGAGGGTCTAGATGGGGGGATGGTGTCTGAAAATCAGTAAACTGTAAAAATTTTGGTATTTTAACGGCAAATCTTTGAAAAGTGTTCTGACGATAAACAATATTTTTTCCTCACGCTTCACGGTAAATTTTTAGTGTTTTCTCGACTGACGGTAACCGAAATTGAGTGAATCACAACTCACGATATACCCCATCAACACCCTCACTTAAGGGTTGATCAAAATAAAGATAGATGAATATAACCGATGCTACCCAGAAACGAGCGTTGTTATTACACTACGCTGGCCCAGATGTTGACGATATTTTTGAAACACTACCCGACACGGGTGAAGACAAAGATTATAAAAAAGCCGTAGAATGTTTAAACACGTATTTCGTTCCGAAAGTCAACATGGTCTACGAGGAATATCAATTTCGTCAGGCGAAACAGCGCTCGAATGAAAACCTAGCTTCGTATCATACCCGGCTTAGACGGCTTGCCAAACACTGCGGTTTTGCTGACGTTGACAAGGAAATTCGCACACAAATTGTCTTCAGCTGTACCTCTCACAAGCTTAGACTACGTGCCCTTCGCGAGGACCTCAGTCTTACAGCCCTTCTCGAAGCAGGTCGTGTAGCTGAGATCACAGATCGACAAGCCAGAGCTCTACATTCAACCTACCGGCCAGTACTGACCAAAGCGACAATGCCCTTCCCTCACGTAGCAAACCATATTCTGTCCACCCGGATCAGCATGCTCCGCCCCACACTCCCAACAATCAACGAACACACACTCATTCCCTCTGTCGAAATTGCGGCGGCGACCGTTTTCTCATGCTATTTCCTGCCCTGCCAACGGGAAAACGTGTCGTTCTTGTGGCAAAAATGGACATTTTGCCAAAGTTTGTCGCTCCAGACCCCAGCAGCGCCCTCGTTTTGTCCAACAAATAGCTGATGATCCTGAGCAAGACCTGCCTATACTTTTGTTATCCACTACGAGCAAGCAGTCCTCAACACCTCCTCGCCATCCAGTGCGCCCCTCCGCCCCTCTCCATCTTGCATCGTTAACATTGGTGGCCAGCCCATCTTTGTACTTGTCGATTCTGGTGCTTCTGCAAACCTGCTTGATGAAGCGACCTACAATTCCATCACCCATAACACGCGACTCTCTGCCATGTTAAACCCTCCCACCACCAAAATATACTCCTATGGTTCCAACACTCCTTTACCTTCACTCGGAAGTTGGTCCACCTCTGTTCGTTATAAGTCCACAACCGTTAATGCTACGTTCCACGTCAGAAAAGGCAACAGTGGGAATCTTCTCAGTTGCACTACCGCCCAACAACTCAACCTATTAACCCTTAACGTTAATTCCACCATGTCTGGTCAAACCATCCTCCATGCCTTCCCTCATCTGTTTGACGGCATTGGCCAGGGTTAAAGGAAAAGAAATCAAGCTCCATATCTCAAACACTGTAGCCCCAAAGCAACAGCCACAACGCCGCATTCCTTTCCATGTACGCAAAAACGTTGAGCAAGAACTGAAACGCCTCGAACAGCTCGACATCATTGAAGCCGTTGACGGGCCAACACCATGGGTAAGTCCCATTGTGGTGGTTCCCAAGAAATCAGGTGAAATACGTATATGTGTCGACATGCGTGAAGCCAACAAGGCAATCGGAAGAGAAAAGCACCTCATGCCAACCTTAGATGACCTCATCACTGACTTTAACGGAGCGGCCGTTTAGCACCCTTGATCTTGCTTCCGGTTACCAATAGCTAACCCTAGCCCCAGAAAGTCGTCACATCACCACCTTTAGCACCCACGTTGGGCTACGTCGATACAAGCGCTTGATGTTTGGAATCAACGCTGCATCCGAGATATTCCAGAACGCCATCGCTGAACTGCTTGCTGGACTACCTGGATGCAAGAATATCTCTGATGATATTATTGCGTACGAAAAAGACCAACTCGAACATGATCTTAACCTCCAAGCTGTCCTTCAACGCCTCTCAGATTACAACGGCTACGCCAGTCCGCTTTATCTGACGTCGAAAGTCGTTACTCGCAGACGGAACGCGAAATGTTAGCCGTCTTTTGGGGAGTTGAACACTTTCATCTTTACGTCTACGGTTCACATTTTCAGATCATCACGGATCATAAGCCTCTTCTAGGCATCTTGAAGACCCAGAAACCTGCAACACCGCGCATGGATCGATGAAAATTCCGCCTCGTGCCTATCGCGCTGGGAAAGACAACCCCGCTGACTTCATGAGCCGCCATCCCAAACCAGTAAATTTCACAAACGAATCTGAGAACTTAGCTGAACTTTACGCAAATGATGTTTGCTCGAATGCCATTCCCAAAGCCATGACTCGTGAAGAAGTCAAAACTTGAAACCAAACTGGACCCTCTCCTCCAAAAAGTAGTCACCGCGATTTCCCTCAACAACTGGACCGATCCAACTGTCGACCGCTACCGCCGTTTCCAAGACGAATTGATGGTCTGTGACGAAGTTATCCTCCGTGGAAACCGTATTGTTCTCCCACAGTCCCTGCACAATCGAGCCATCGAGTTAGCCCACCTTGGCCATCAAGGCATTGTTAAAACAAAGCAACTCCTACGCAAAAAAGTCTGGTTTCCAGACATTGACAAAATGGTTGAAGCCAACGTCAAGATGTGTTTGCCCTGTCAAGCCTCTACCCAAGGAACGTCTTCACCTCCAGAACCACTGAAACCCTCCCCGCTCCCAGAGAAAGCTTGGACCAATGTAGCAGTTCATTTCGTTGGACCATTTCCCACAGGCGAATACCTGATAGTCGTGATTGATGAATACAGTCGATACCGGGAAGTCGAAATTCTCACCACAAAATCCACGAAAGCTGCAAATCCAAAGCTTGATTCCATATTCTCCAGACAAGGCATCCCTGAGATTCTCAAGTCAGATAATGGCCCTCCATTTAATGGTGAAAAGTTTGAGAACTTTGCCAACCACCTCGGTTTTAAGCACCGTAAGTTATATAACCCCATACTGGCCAAGAGCCAACGGCGAAGCTGAATGCTTCATGAAAACTATTGAGAAAGCAATTCGAGCTGCCACAATTGAAGGTCGGAACTGGAAAAAAGCCATGTATATCTTCCTTCGCCAGTATCGTGCCACATCACATAGCACCATCTCCGTATCCCCTAGCGAAGCACTAAATAACCGAAAGCTAAAAACTCACCTTCCAGATTCCCCATCAACACCAAGCAACTCCGAGAAAGATGAGGAGATACGCAGTCGAGACGAAAAAAACAAATCAACCATGAAATCATACAGCGACAAACGAAATCGTGCCAAGCCAAACAACATCACCCTCGGTGACACTGTCCTCAACCGAAATTGAATAAACTGTCCACACCATTTGACCCTGAGCCCTTCCGCGTTGTAGCAGTTAAGAACTCGATGATCACCGCAAGAAACAAGCTCAGAACAGTAACGCGCAATTCCTCCTTCTTCAAGAAAATACCCCATCTCCCTGTTCATCTCGAACCTCCGACGACGAAGACAACCCTCCCAAAACAAACACCCAATCTTCACAACCGCCTTCGCCACCACTGAGGAGATCCTCTCGACAATCAAGACAGCCGGGACGCTATCTATGGTTATGCAAACGCAACAATATATATATTTTGAAGCGTGGCACCATTTTGGTTGATTGACAACTACGAACTGATAATCGTTAACTAATATTTTAGATTTAAAAGAAAAAAACATTTTATAAAGAAGGGGAGGGATGTAGTGTCCTTAGGTACAGTATCGTATTGCATCTCAAACTAATTACCTTATGCTTGTATATAATAGTTATTTTTTAATATCACATTACATTATTATAGCACACAAGTGCGTGCGTGTGTTCGATTCGAGGTTATAATATGAATACAACAGTTATGTACAATGTGAAACTGATCTATGAGATGAGTTATGCACATTTTTATTCCCAACTCCTGAACGATTAAAGCATATAGTGCCATAAACTCTCAAATGATGTTAATTCTTGATTGAGTCGGCTTTCTTTCACTACCGAGGTGATTATTTTTAATAATCACCTTGAATATTTAATTAGCTGAAATGATGAGAAGGAAAACTCAGAAAACACCTCGTTCAAAGCAGACGAAACTTTGTTGGAAAACCTCCCCAATCAAGAATTAAATATGATAAACACCTCAAAAGTCGGGATTTAATGTTGGATAATGCCCTCGGACGCTGCGCCTCCTCGGGCATTATCTGATATAAATCCCTCGATCCTTCTCAGTGTTTATCCAATACATATAGATATACAGAGTGTATATGACATAAATCCTGACTTTGGAAGTGTATATCATCTTTAATTCATCATTGAGGAGGTTTTCCAACAAAGTTTTGTCTGCTTCGTCTACTTTTAATGACCATTTTCTGAGTTTTCTTCATCTTTTCAACTAATTAATATTACATCACAACCTCGTACCCAGAGTCCCTGTGTTTAAAGGATATGGTGCACGCGTGCAAAATGCAATCTGATTTAAAGTGATCGGTTCAATTCGTATTTTGGGATTCCAATGTTCGAACAATTGCCCGGCAAATGTTGGTTACCCATTTGGGAAACGTATGCCATTGTGAGTCCAGTCTGCAAGCTTCCAGTGTTGTAAAATTTTAGTCGCACAATGGACGACTTGTGCTTTAGGCTAAATTTTAATCTAAGTAAGAACAACGAAATCTATCACAACAGCTGGAAAGAGCGTCTTGGAATTAGTAATATTACAAAGTTTGGTTGCGAAATGTTGTAAAATACGGAAAATATAGCTGGCAAATTTGTATACTTTTGTATTACGCGCGTGAATTGGTAACTAAATTAGTTACCAATTTCCGCACGTAATAGTGTATACAAATTTGCCAACTTCGCAGGGCTATATTTTCCGTATGATAACTTCTTTCAGAAAATATCCTTTGTTATTGCCAGATTAAAAATTTTCTAAAGCGTAAGTCGTCCATTTCAATGTAAAATTGCGAGTAAGATTTTATCAAAACTTGGTGCTTTGAATCCCAAATGAGAATTACATGTAATTCGCAACGATGCATGGAAAATGCAATTTCGAACGGCATTTCTAAATTGTATTGTATTTGGCTTTTATGGATCGCAATGATACAAGAAACGCATCATTCGACAGCTAAAAGGTTGTTCTTTATTGGTATGGAAAAAGTAAATTGGTAAACATAATATATAATGCACGATAAATCGTTAACAATGTTGCATATCGACGTTTAGATTGTTCTCAGTCATTTGAAACAATACCATGCAGAGCATAGTTTTAGTCTCTGCAATCATGTTGACCAGTGGGTGTTTAATACTTTAACGAATTACTCCTAAAAACAGTATTACACTATATCGGGAAGATTTAACATATATCACTATATTTTAAAAATGAAAATTAAAGCTCAGCAAATATAAAAGTTATTGGCTAACGTTTCGGTTGTATTGTTCACAACATCTTCAGAGCAATTAAACTTATTTACAAGCGTATATTATACCGTAAGTAGTGATAGACCCCATTCTGGCGGATTTTAAAATGAGCTTGCAAAATCTATGACGTCATTTTGGTTCAGCTAACACTCTGGCGGAATTTATAATGAGCTTGCAAAATCTATAACGCCAGGTAGCGCGACCTATTAACGCGGGCAAGCCTGGGCCAAATGTCACAAGTAACGCGACCAATTAGCATCACAATACAGTAATGAGATCAATTAGCGGCACAGCACAGTAACGCGACCAAACAAATTATCAGACATTATAAATATCGTGTTTCGAACACACATTTCATTTCTCACTGTTGCATTTTGGAAAGAGTTCTCTGGTTCTCAAGTTTTGTCTGGTGGATTGCATTGGATTGTTTTTAAAATGGCTCAATCGGTAAGTTTTTAAAATGGCTTAATTGATAGCGTTTTGAATATATGTTTACGATATTTTCAGATTTATGGGTTGGATTTCTGACTAATTTATTTTTTAGATTAATATGCTGAATTTGATCAAGGCTTGTGAGACCGAAAGTGAGCTCGACTTGCTTCAGGAGTCGTTCATGCTCACTGAAGAGCAGAAGGAAGCTGTTCTTCAGCCGCGCATTATATTTTGGACGAATGCTATGGCTGAAGATATTGCACGGGAGAATCCAGATGGAGTTGTTGCTGGCTTCATGGATAATTGGACAGAGGATCAACGGCGTCAGTTTAACGAAGACTGGGCTAATGACGAAGGTTTATGCGAGCTTGAACGGTTGCCTGAACCGTCGGATAACCAAATGGGTGAAGGGAGCAAGCGAAAGCACGAGAGCGATGACGTCCCCTTAGAACGCCAGAAACCAAAGGAATATTTTACAATCAAGTCGGTGAAACAAGTTAACGTGAGGAAATTCAGGACGACAGGTACACAAACTGTTTTTATTTTTTTAAGCGTGTATAATACATTTTTAAGCATAACATCAGTTACGCTCAGTATGGGATAGAGTTTATGGCTTGCGAGTAAGGTTTCGTTTTTATTATAAGAGTTTTGTTTATTGCTTGTGTGTACACCTGTAACTGGCGGTACAAAGTGAATGGTAAGCCTATGGTTTGGAATGAATTGGCCGAGGCAATGAAGGTACTAAAACTGGCGGTTGACAGAGATGTACTCGAACATTTACAGCAACTGGAAAAAGGTCCAGATTCTACGTTTGTCGATTCATTGCTGAGAACCACGAACTACAATGTATACTGAACTATTTGTTTAATTTGGAGATTTGAAGATCCGCTCGAATCCGTAGCTGAAGCGTTATTTTTTCTCTTGCCCACCGAGTTACGTGTATTCTGTGAAGGTGAGGGGTGAACGATTTAGAAGTTTTGAGGCCGATCATAAAATTGCTTATCAAGGATTCTTGGATAAACAACTTATAGAAGAGTTTAACAAACAGTTTTAGTTGTAATATGTTTGACACTATAGTGTGTTATTTGTATCAATATACATGTTTTAAACTTTGCAAATGTTGCGTTGTTATGTGTTGCTAAGTCATTAGGAGGCGTGTAGGAAATTAAGAGATTAGGCGAACAAAAATCTGCATAACTAAGTGTATCCGAATGGATAGATAGGTGTATAATTACGTGTTTGGTGTAAGCATATAGTTTATTTGATTTTTATGTCAAGGAAACTGTAATGCCTTGGTGGTCGAATGGTATGGCATTGGGGTTTGTTCCAAAAGACATCCCTGGTTTCCATAAACATTTTGTGTATTGGATCTCTCTTTAGTTGTCTTATCCATAGTAGACGTTCCAAATGAATATTCTGCAAATCTTTACGAAGTTTTGGTAGGATAAGTAAATATGCCTTGTCTTTAGCTTCGTTTTCGTCAAAACCTTCTGCAGCGAAATTCTGCGTTAGTTCTTCAAATTCCGATAAACTTTGTTGGGTTGCTTCAGCTTTTAAAGGAGTCCATGGATCGCTTTCGTATTCATCACCTACTTCACTACTAGTATCATCTACATTATCAGAATCACTCTCTGACACAGAATCAGTTTCCACTTCGTTGTCAGTGTTATACGAATTCTCAACATCACGCTCTGATGTAGCACTATCAGAGTCTGCAACCGTTCTCATTCTTTTCATCTTTACACTGAAATCTGTAGTAGATTTCCAACAGTACTGTATTTCCTTCGTATATAGTTAGGTTGAAACAACTGCAACCACAACCAACCGGCGAATGATCAATTTTTAGAACAACATTACATTTTATGAAATGACCTTAAGGGACTTTTCTATGGCCTTGTGTCCGATTGGTGATTGGCTGGGACACTTCCCCACCGTAACAATATTCAATATACGAATGGGAGGAAAGGGATGAAAAGCAACCTGTCATTAATTAAAACTATTAGTAAATTAAAGATAGAATGGTTCGTAATTAGAGACCCAGCAAAGCATTAGAATAGGTCAAGAGGAATTGACTTATTGTTGGCATTTAAAGTAGGTTAAGCTTGGATATGAAAAGGCTTTCGCGAATGAGTAAATCTGCTTCAGAACTGGCTGTGGAAAGGATTTTAATATCACAGGGTGAAAATTGATAATTTTCTTAATATCACTATTTACATAGGAGCAAAATATACTGCTATTTAAAAGCAAGTAACTAATTAATAAACAAAGACACACAAGAACAACTTAAGATTTCACCCTTCCGTTAGTCTTACATACATGCATACATACACACTCAGAATTCATTGTGGCGGACCACTCACTGATTCATAATCATTACATAGAGATATGATGTGTTGTATGATATATGGTATTACAAAGTTTTTAATACTACAACACTTAACACAACATTAATGCATGAGTGCCATCCATTCACGATCCAACGATGGCAATGTTTTATTGCCTCTTCATTGTCTTGAAAATCTGCTGTCCTTACTGCTAACTAATTGTTTCGCAAAACGTAGTTTATTTAGCCACGTGTTGCAGCTACGAGAATTAAAAAAATTCCTTCAAATCTACTCTTCTTGTCCAGTTAGGATGTTCTCTGATGACTTGATGCACTTCAACAGACAGCGCAGGGAATTTTCTTTGAAAATATTCTTGTGGTGTAACGACAGTGTTCTGGACATTTACTGGTGGTGCCTTGTCACGCCAATGTACTGCCATGTTTCGAATAAATCTCAGAAGATCTACTGCATCATTTGCATACGCGGTACGCCGAGGTGCAGTCATGTGCTTCATCACACAAACATCAATCATCGCTATCCAATTGATCAAACCAGACACCTTATTTAATTCTTGAACAACGAGTGATGTTGCATCTTTGATTTTAATTTCTTTCTCGTTTCCAATACGCGTCACGAAATTAAAATTTTCTTCAGCCGTTTGCAGGTAGGGGTGCTTTAGACATTGGTGAACATTGGGTCGTTTGACAGGATCATGCTGGAGCATCCATGTAATAAGGTCTATTGCGCATGGATCATTTAAATCCTTCAAATTAAAATCTCCTTTCGATATATTATGATTTCGATGAATATGTTTACCGTATGGATGTTTTCCCTTGGTCAAAACATAGTAACATAACATACCAACAACCTGAATGTCAGATTGTTTCTTATAACGAACTTTAATATCAACATACGATAAGTAGTCGTCTTCATCTTCTTCATTCGGAAGTGATTCCACTGCCATCCAGCCTTCAGTTCCACTTAAACCGCTCATGTACGTGGTTTTGTCTTTTGAAAGTGTTCGACTGATGCCAAAATCAGCAAGCACCATCTCGCCTTCCACGTTCACAAGTATATTCGATGGTTTCAAATCTCGATGGAGTATTTCCGGATCGCTGCAATGAAGGGCTTTTACACCAAAAAGTATTTGATGTATTATACTTGGACCTTCTTTTCTTAAATGTTCGATAGTGCGATTCTTGTGCAAAACATAATCCCGTAAGGTTTCCTCATGTAAATCCAAAACTAAGTTCGCTTTTTTAGAATCGACTGGTTGGTAAAAGCGATAGTTGACAATGTGCTTTTCTTTTCGAACGTTTGGACAATTCAAGATTTCTTTCTCACTGTCGCCAATTTGCTGACATTTATTCAGATTCATGCACTTTATTGCCACTTCATAGCCATCATCTGATAATCCAACATAAACATTTGTTCCGTCACTTCCGTTCCCGATGCAAAATTCATCATGAAAACAAACGCGATAAGTTCCAATTCTCGTTGCCTTTGAAGGTTCGTTTTTTAAAAGTGTTGCCAATTTTGACATTATTGAATAATGTTTTTTCGATCTTCTTGTCCATAGAATTTCTGTGTTACTTGCTAAAAAAGGTATAAATACATTGTTAAAATATTTATTACAATCAAATATGTGTGTTATATGGAGTGTTTACATTGCGCTAATATATAAGGGATATGGTATTACAGTCTATTTCACATAACTCTTCCCTGAATGTTGCGAACTCCGTTCTCAATTTCGTTGTGAAGTTCAAAAGTACATATTGAAATTCACGAGTTGGATCGTAAACAAATTCTCTGACTGGCCCCTGGCCCCTGTATATGATTATTAACTTTTAAACTTCGCAACGAACTTTGGAACGAAGTTTGCAACACTTTTAGGAAAAAGTTATGTGAAATCAACTGTAAACTCAGACATTATATTAGCTGTATAATTCGAAATAAAATTTACTATGAAGAAAATATACTATATACTTAATATGAATTAAAATTGAAACATTATTAACTGAACTTAAGTTAGTTATGACGGAACATGATCCGAAAGATGGTGTGGGCTTTGTAATTTCAAGAAAAAGATTAGACAAGCTAGCTGCAAATCCAGAGAAAGAAGATTGAACCATCATACATACACCAGTTGAATGTTCAACAAAGTTGACCCTCTTGGTTACTGTTACGTTGATTTGACTAAAATAACATGACGTACGTGGAATATTTGTTGTCGCCCGCGATGAACTGAAACAAAAGCGCGCGAATTGAAGACGCCATGTTGAACGTTAAAAGTACGTAAAGTAGTCTAAATAAACGCTAAAAATTAATGTTTTGGACAAATGTAGGTGCAAAGACGTGTATTTGTAACGCAAAATAATGCATTTATATTTGTAAACATAGTCGTAATTTTCTTTCTATTCTTTATCTTATAGCTTCAGATTATATACATATTTTATGCAAATTTCGTGTTTGTATAATTTAATAAAAAAAAACCCAAACCATTGTTGTTGTTTGTCTATTGTCGCCTGCGCCATCGGTCCATTATCTGAAGATTTATATGTTTGCTGATGGTGCTATGTACTGAACTTTGTATTTGAGGTAAAATGGACAAAGAGATGAAGAATAAAGCTAGGAATGCACGTTGTGGTGCAAAAGGTGCTCTGACGAGAGCAATGAATGTTACAAATGAACTGATTGAAGCAAGTCGTTCGAAAAGTGAAGTAAAACAAGCCTTTGAAGAGTTACAATGGGCTCATGAAGGATTAGTGATGAAACATGAAGAATTTACTATGTTATTAGATGATGAAGTGTTCGAAGAAGCTGAAAAATGGATGCAAGTCTGTGCAAGTGATTACGTAGCCTTTACTATGCGTTATCATGATTATATATTAAGAAAATAGATGAGGAGAAAAGTAAACAGAATGTCAGTGACAGTGTCATTGGTGAATCGAGTGAAGAGACCAATGAGGAAAGTAATGGTAGTCAAGGAAGTAACAATCTGATCGAACAGTCTACTGTTTTTAATGAGAATAATCACCCAAGCACAATGCAAAACCCTGAAATGATACAATACAGTCAGAGTTCAGCTAAGCCCTTTACTGTTAAGCATGAAAAAGCCAAATTACCTGTGTTTGCTGGTGATGTTCGACAATATTTCATATTTAAGTCGGATTATAAACACGCTGTCGAAGCAGAATTGTATCAGACACGATTACCCTAGATCTAGAAAGATTCAGAAGTATTCAACCTGGAGAAGATCATCGATTCTGCCAATTAGTAAATTTAGTGAGACGGTCGTAGAACATCTTGAAAGAAAGTAAGCGCCCCCAGGATATGGATAATACGCATGTGATCTCCCTGATGGAAAGAAAAATGAGCGAAGACGACCTGAGGGTGTGGGCGCGCTATCTTAATTCTCAAAAGTGTGAACCATCAATGGATAACCTTCTGTCTTGGATGGAAGCAGAAATGACTGCCCGAATGGGCTCTGGGGCCCAAATTTGCAAGAATGTCCGATCACACAGGGTCAACACCAGGGACGCCGGAAGATCGATAATTGGGGGGGGGGCAGATATTCATATATTCCTGTTCTGCCCAATTAATTTCTTTTGAAATCGATTGTTTTTAAAGTCTGTGAACACGAATATATGAATATCTGCCCCCCCCCCCAATTATCGATCTTCCGGCGTCCCTGGTCAACACATTTGGCTCCAAGACTGATAATGGTGATGGAAAGCATGGAGAAGATCGGTTTAAATCGAAGCAATGTTATGTATGTCAAGATCAACACCATATAGATGAATGCCAAAGATTCTGTGATATAACGCCAAATAAAAGATAGAAAATAGTGAAACAACAACGAGCATGTTTTTCCTGTTTGAAGAGAGGCAAAGGCCACACGGTTGCGAACTGCTCACGAAAGAAAGAATGCGGAGAGAAAGTACAATCCGGTGGTGCCTGTAATAAGCCTCATCACAAGCTCCTCCATGTCGATGCAAATATGACCCCAACCCCTCCCCACATCGGTTTTATCCATGATGGTGGCGGTGCCTTGCTTCCAGTGCTTCTCGTTCAAGTGAAAGGAATGAATGGAACAAAAGCTGCAAATGTTTTCTGCGATAGTGTTGCTCAAATATCAATGGTACGTAAAGACCTTGCCGAAGAAATGGGGCTTGAAGGAAGACAGTCCAAGATAGTTATCACTAAGGTTGGAGGCACCGAAGAAGAGTTAGACACCACGATATACAAGGTTCCAGTGTCCACCCATGATGGTAAAAGAGTTCAAGTCGTCCAAGCGGTTGGAATACCACACATCTCTGATGATATGACCCATGTCAATTTGAACAGAATCTCAGACACCTTTGGAATTCCCATAGATCAATTGAAAAGAAAATCTGGTCCTGTAGATTTGTTGATCGGTATCAACTATTCCCATTTTCATGTCGGTGAAACACGAATCAAGGACGGTTTAGCAGTCAGAAAGAGCCCTCTTGGTTGGGTAGCGTTTGGAGCAGATAACGAGCAGACACAGCCGAAAGCCAATCAAGTCATGAATGTCCGTCTAGCCGCACCAATAGATCTCACCCAGTTTTGGACAACCGAGTCGATGGGAGTATCAATTCCCCCATGCAAATGCCCGCCCAACAAAATGACAGCAGAAGAACAAAAGGGATTAAAGCTGATTGAAGAGTCGTCTAATTTGGAAGGGAAGAAATGGACTATGAGTTACCCGTGGAAGAAAAGTCCCGAACTGTTACCAGATAATTATTCACAAGTATTGAAGAAGATGGAGTCCACTTAACGTCGTCTCAGTAAACAGCCTGCTCATGCCAAAAGTTATGATGAGCAGATGCAAGAAACGGAAAAGATGCAATTCGCTCGGAAATTGACGAAGTATGAAATTGAAGAATGGAAAGGACCCATCCATTACGTTGCTCACCACGCTGTTGTCCGCCCAGCAAAGAAAAGCACTCCAGTTAGAATTGTCTTTAACAGCTCTGCATCATACAATGGCCACATTTTAAATGAGTATTGGTACAAAGGACCTGACTTGCTTAACAATCTCTTTGGAGTAGTGCTACGATTTCGAGAAAAAGAAGTAGCAGTTGTTGGTGACATATCCAAAATGTATCACAGGATTGCAATCCCACTTTCAGATCAGCATGTCCATCGGTTTCTGTGGCGCAATATGGAAACAGATCGAGAAAACAAACGTGTAGGTTAAAACCGTTTTGACCTTTGGAGATCGTCCGTCCCCAGCTATGGCAACAGTAGCAATGCACAAAACAGCCGAACTGAAAGAAGATAGCAAACCAAAGGCAGCTGAAGCAATTAAAGAAAATACCTACATGGATGATGTATGTGATTCACAAGCTTCTGTGGCAGACGCTAAAGAGCTGATTTCGAACATCGACGAAGTTCTCGATGCTGGTGGTTTTCACATAAAAGAGTGGATATCCAACGCACCATTGACTGATAAAGAAAGCAGAGATGAAGTAGTACTCGGAGCAAATGAAGAAAGCAATATGCAAAAAGTTCTCGGAAAGGTTTGGCATCCAAATCAAGATCAGTTCTCGTTTGCAGTAAAGATCGAGTATCCCAATGAATTATCTAATGAAGCAACGCCTACGCAAAATTTTTTTCCGTAGACAGTCGGACTCCTCATTGATAGTCGGACGCATCATTGACCCGCGCCCTTAAACAAAACATTCAGCGGATACTCTTCTTATTAGATGCGCCTTCCCAGTGTGTTTGCGCACGCAATTGGTGATTTCAAAATATTGTATTGCTTGGTTGAGATGTCAAAATCTGAGTAGGACACATTGTGGCTTCATATTTTGTACGGTGATGACATCTGGCATATTTTATTAAGTTATATTCGCCATTCCCACTTGCTTTTCTTTGCTTTTGTAACTGTTTTTATAACTCTTGGAGCGATTGCAGAATACCCGTCCACTTTTCTTGTTTTAAGCTATGCCTTTCAAACATCATGCATGGATACGATGTATTAATACATCTATATTTATTCTCAATAGATTAATAATAAATAGATTGATAGATTAAAATCCCATGGTAGTAAAAGGTATAGCTACGAGGCATACAGTGACTTACAGTGCATTAACAGATTAAATTGTCATAGTGTTAATTAAAGGTAGCTGAATACGCGGATAAATAGTCAAGTAGTTATTTTGAGAACAAGGCATACAGTTAGATTAGCAATAGATCAAATTTTCATGCTATAGGTAGCTCTATACTTTAGTGGATACGCGGATACGTGGATACTCAGTCAAGTAACTATTTTGAGATTAAGACGACAGTTAGCGTGAACAGATTAAATTCTCATGCTATAGAGAGTTTAATGTGGTGTAATATGTAAATATGTTCCTCACAACCCAACCGGACATTGGTGTTTGACAGATTATGATTAATTAGCGTCGCTAGAAGAAAAAAATTTATAAAGCATACTAAGCATAAATATTAAAGATTAAAAGTCTTGCATGATATTTCATTTATTATATCAATACGTAATATTAGTAATTAGTTTGCATGTGCATATTTGAATGTAGCCAGCGTGGCCGGCTCTTATAAAAGAGCCGGCCACGCTGGCTAATTTGAACGAGGCATTATTAAAGATCTGGTATATACATATCCAGTGAAATGGTGACCAGGATACATGATATGATATTACTAGTGAACGGGTATTCCGCAATACTTCTATTTGTGGAAAGTGGTCTTGATGCCGGGCGGGTCGCTTTGAATCTTCCAGTATTTCCTTACACGCTAGTTATCTTATCCTGATTCTCTTCAATTGCGATCATATATAGTTTTAACTCGCAATAACAGTTCTTGAGTATTTTCGGAACCAAAAAAAACAAGTTTGTAGATTTACTATGGCATAGCGAAGCAAATCGTTCATCTTTCTACACGTGGTCGAAGAAGAACAACGTGGAGTGATGGATATATGGTATGCCAGAGGGTTACGCAGGGTACGAAGGGATCCATCGATAACGCGTGGAGGCCTGGACGCGGATCAATGATGCGTCAGACTATCAATGAGGAGTCCGACTGTCTACGGAAAAAAAATCCGCAACGCCTACGTCTACAAAGCCGTCCAAAATGACAAAACGTATCATCCTCAACAAGTTAGCTGGCATTTCTGATCCAACCGGAGCCTGAGCAGCCACTTTGGTGAAAGCGAAGATCGGTATGCAAGAGCTTTGGCAGCACAATCTAAGTTGGGATGAAGATATACCATCTGATCTCAAGAAAAAATGGACATTGTTGTTTCATGAAATGGAACGTCTTCATTGAAGACACCATGTTGGGCGTTAAAAGTACGTAAAGTAGTCTAAAGAAACGCTAAAATTAATGTTTTGAGTCGGAAAAGTCAAGTTAGGTTTATGGTTTATGGTTTTAAAGTTTATCAGTGGTTTGGACAAATGTAGGTGCAAAGGCGCGTATTTGTAACGTAAAATAATGAATTTATATTTGTAAACATAGTCGTAATTTTCTTTCTATTCTTTATCTTATAGCTTCACATTATATACATATTTTATGCAAATTTCGTGTTTGTATAATTTAATAATAAGAAAACCAAACCATTGTTGTTGTTTGTCTATTGTCGCCTGCGCCATCGGTCCAGTTACGTTGTATCATCATCAGATGATGACGACTGTCCGTTAGCTAGACTTTTGGCTGATGATGTATCTGACGATAGTGAAGATGATGCTCCATTGGCTCAATTAATCAGCAAAAGACAAAAAAATCACATTATATATTATATCCCTACACTGATATATATTGATTTTGGACAGACATACACTATAGCAGTGTGTCATAAAACGCTTGTGCTATAGTTTACCAACTTTAACTGGCTTAAATCTTAATAACACAAAAGGTATTTCAGCAATTATGCTATTTTTTCTGAGCTTGATTTTTAGGTAGCCTTTTATAAACTAATGGATGATTTTTACTATATCTTAAAAATTGAGAGTTTTATACCAAATTTGGTATTAACAAATAAGATCCTAACTAGACTGTGACACCAAAAGCTTCCATTAATTTGTTGGCTAGTTGTTTAGAGCATGGTACAAGCTTTAAAATTATGTATAGCATGTTGCATATACATTTAACCTTAATAAGATAGAGCCATTTTTACATCATGAGTTTGCGAACATAAAATTTAAGGTAGCTTCCCCCTTTATTAACTACACGTGCGTGTTGGAATGTTGGTGCGAACTGCCAACGGCTTTACACGGATCAAACCTGTCTGATGTTGATGAACTGTTCCGCAGGGCCGTACCTAGACCCAATAATTGGGGGGAATATTCATAAATTCGTGTTCTGCCCGACGGATTTCTTTCGAAAGCGATTATTTTTACGTTATAACGTGAACATGAAGATATTATAAGAATATACAACCCCCAATTATGGCCCTGCTGTTCCGTGCGTGATTAAATCATCATTCTGTCAAGCACACAAGTGTAATGTGCTCTTTCTCGGCAGTTAAACGTAAAATCTCCACCACCCACCCCTTTAATCAAGTAAAATTGTGTTGTTTACTACCAATTTTATTGGTGTAATAATCTCTAATCCAAGTATCACCGCTCGTTCTCAGGCCTTCCAGAATCACTGATCGTTCCCAGGCCACCTTGGTTCTCAGCTTGCACCTAATTATGCACCATTTATCTAGCCTATGTCAGCAGGAAAATAACTGGCCTATAACTTTTTAGTGCAGAAAGTACGTTATTATGACACATTTATTAGTATGATATATATAAATATATATATATATATATATATATATATATATATATATATATATATATATATATATATATATATATATATATAATTCAAAAAAGGTTGTCGTTTGCAAACCTTAAACTCTAAACCTTAAACCTTTTACCGTTTAAAAACTCTAAACGCGCAAAGCTTATTTGGAGCACAAGTTTCAAGCTTAACAGTTGAATATTACATCTTTTGTGAATGAATTGTTCACATATATATAATATATAAAGTAGAATAACTGCAGGGAGCCTCCTTAAAAGAGTGATGCACTCAGATCAACCTCCTAAACTTTTAAGACTCTCGCGTTATGAGCTAATTCTAACCTTTCCAAGTATTCGATGCAATAAACTCCATGAGGGTTAATCATATGCATTTACGTTTTAAAATGTATTATCTCCGTAATAAATAGTTAATTTCAAGTTTCAAAACGATGGCATGGATTGCAACACAATAACGTGACCTTAAAACTGATATGTTTTACACAAATTCAAAAATAGTACCTGCAGATGATGATGATGGTGATTCCCATCCAACATATCTATAGACAAAAACAAAATAAGTTAGCTATAGAATACAACATATATACATATTTGATTCGATCATCATTACTGAATAATTTTTCTTTCTAAATTTTTCCTGATGTCACATGTAGTCAACGCACTGTAGAATACTGTAAGATATAATCAGTGTACAGTTATTGATGGTGCAAGTTTAAATGGCTTCTCGACTTTAAGCCAAGTTAAGGCTTTTGTGTCAGTGCACAGTTTCATCTGAGGTTCAGGTGCCGGCCATGTTGTATTGAATATTCATGAGTTACTTTAAGTTATTATGCCTATATTCACAACACAGACGTGAATTCCAACAAAATGTATATGCCAACGCGTTTATTAAACAGATGAGATGGCACAGTAATTTTTACACAGTGCTATCCACGGCATAAGTGATATCCAGTGCATAGTCGTACGGGAGGGAAAAAAGTAGGGGCTATTGCTGTTGAACGCTTTCAACTTTATTATAGCATGACCTATTTACAAAATATTGCTAAAGCATAATATTTAGAAATGTTTATATGGGAAGTCTGGTGTATATAAATTTATCTTTTTGCTTAACATATAACATATAACAGATAACATATATAATATAAGATGTAATACATATAATATATAAAAAAAAACTGTATTAAGTAACTTCAATTAATCAAAGCAGTTATTTCGTTTGATGAAACATAATTGTAAAAATTTTGAGAAAGTTTTAATTAAAGTTGAATCTTTAGATGAAATTATATAGATTGTAAGTCATCTTTATGATGAAAAGAGGTTGGTATTGGAAAATTTTGTAAGTTAGAGATCAAATCATTTCCTTAATTTTCATAGGATTTGCAGGAAAGTGAAAAATGATATTTGTCTTTGACTTTCTTCAAATCACAGTATTCGCATATACGCTCTTCCTGTGGAATTTTGTGGTATCTTCCCATTTCAATTTTTAATTTATGACAGCTAATACGAAATTGAGTAAACTAAGGTTCTTCTCTGTGTCGGTTTTTTATGATATTTAAGTATTCCTCTAATTGATATTCACATTTAAAGGTACGTAAAACGTTTGGACGAGCTTGGTAATTTTCGTTTCCAAAGGTTTATGTATTTGTCTTTGGCATTCTGGATTTATACAGGGTGTATAAAAAAAAGGTAATCGAACGTCAGCGCGCTATTGTATCTGAATTACTCTGCGTATGAACGAGATTTTTTCACATTCGGAAAGATCATGCTTTTAGCTGTTGAATGATATCTTCTTCATGCCAAATGAATAAAAAATGAGCAAATACGAATCCGATAAAAATGTTAGTCAGAATCGCATATTTTCACCGTTGAGAGTTGGGTCTAAAACCATTGAAAATGTAGACTGCGAGCAATCCCTAATAAATAGAGGGATTGCCGCTTTAACTAATTGTCAAGCGTGTTTGATTAAGCTCCGCCTACTTGTTTATATTTCAAAACAGGGTCAAAAACATCTCTTGAAAGGCGCGATCTCGAATGACTCAATTCGCTTAGTGTAAAACCATCAAACAACGTGTATTTAAATTCTCATATTTCAGTTTGGCAAGTATGAATATTCATAATAAGAATTTGTCTGGCAGGAAAACGTATAAAGCAAGGCAAGGGGTCTTAGGGTTTATTGAAGGGTCTATTCTATAGACTGTGACTTTCTGCGACAATATTTTGATATATATATTAATAGTTTACAGTAATAAAAAATTACCA